GGTGCAAAACAGATTGTTAACGAGGAAAGGACTCCTTTAATGGTAGCTGCCACTTATGGAAGTTTAGATGTTTTGAAGTTGATTATCTCTAACCCTGTGGTTGATGTTAACCGTGTTTGTGGTCCAAACAAATGCACTGCTCTTCACTGTGCAACCTCTAGTGGTTCTGTCAATGCTGCTGATGCTGTTAAGTTGCTACTATCAGCTGGTGCCGATCCTAATGTTGAGGATGCTAATGGCCAGCGGCCAGCTGATGTGATCGTTGTTCCACCAAAGCTTCCTGGTGCTAGAGCTTCTCTAGAAGAACTGCTTCTGAACAATTCATCTGATGGCTCAGTTGGTGACTGCAAATTGAGAGTGTCTGTGGCTACTTCAGATGCATCCTCTCCCATTCTCTCCCCATCACCAGAAAATGGATCTCCTTCATCATTGGAGTCCTCATCTTCCCCTATGGCATTGAAGTTCAGTGATATCCCTGCAAATTCTGCACGAGAGAAAAAAGAATATCCAATAGATCCATCTCTCCCTGATATCCAGAACAGTATATATTCAACAGATGAGTTCCGCATGTTCTCTTTTAAGGTCCGTCCATGTTCTAGGGCCTATTCACATGACTGGACGGAGTGCCCATTTGTCCACCCGGGAGAGAATGCTCGTAGAAGAGATCCAAGGAAGTACCACTATAGCTGTGTACCTTGTCCTGAATTTCGCAAGGGGGCCTGCCGGCGTGGTGATATGTGTGAATATGCTCATGGGGTGTTTGAGTGCTGGCTACACCCCGCTCAGTATCGTACCCGTCTGTGCAAGGATGGTACAAGCTGTGCTAGGCGAATTTGTTTTTTTGCCCATACTACTGAGGAGCTTAGGCCCTTGTATGTCTCCACTGGATCTGCAGTTCCATCTCCTAGATCAGCTGCTTCTGCAGCTAGTGTGATGGACATGGCTGCAGCACTGAACCTTTTTCCTGGTTCGCCCTCAGCACACTCTGTGATGTCTCCTTCTGCATTTAACCAACCTATGTCCCCCAGTGCCAATGGAATGTCTCATTCACCTGCACCATGGCCTCAACCAAATGTCCCAACTCTTCATCTACCTGGAAGCAATCTGCAGTCTAGCCGTCTGAGGTCTTCCCTTAGTGCACGAGACATTCCGCCTGAGGATTTTAACATGTTGCAGGATTTTGATGCCCAACAACTAGTTTTCAATGACATGGCTTGCTATTCACAGCAGCGTCCTAATTCTGCCTCTTTGAACCGATCTGGTCGGTCCAAGACACTAACTCCTTCAAATCTTGAAGAGCTATTTTCTGCTGAGATGAACTCTTCTCCACGATTTTCTGATCAGGCAGCGGCTTGTGGTGTTTTTTCCCCATCACACAAGTCTGCTTACTTTAATCAGTTCCAACAGCAACAGAACATGCTTTCACCAATTAATACTAACGTTTTTTCGCCAAAAAACATTGAGCACCCTCTTTTGCAGGCTTCTTTTGGTGTTTCCTCACCTGGAAGGATGTCCCCAAGAAGCATGGAGCCCATTTCTCCCATGAGTGCTCGCCTTTCAGCATTTGCTCAGCGTGAGAAGCAACAGCAACAGCAACAGCTGCGAAGCCTCAGCTCCCGTGATCTTGGATCCAATAATGCATCAATTGTTGGATCCCCAGTGGGTAATTCTTGGTCTAACTGGGGGTCTCCCAATGAGAAGGTTGACTGGTCTGTCAATGGAAATGGACTTGGACACCTGCCCAGATCATCTTCTTTTGAGCAGCTCAATAATGGAGAAGAGCCTGACCTATCATGGGTGCAATCTCTTGTGAAGGAATCTCCAACCGAGATGAAAGAGAAGCAGGCCGCTCCTAATTCAGTTGCTGCACCATCCGGTGAGAGTTTGAAAAACAGTTCCCAAATTGATTCAGTTGATCATTCAGTTTTAGGAGCTTGGCTCGAGCAGATGCAACTTGATCAGCTTGTCGCCTAGCGAGATAAGACACTATTAACTCATTTTCGTGTTTAGCCAAACAAATCAAATTCATAGGGGGGGTAGTATATATTGCTTTATGGTACAACATTTTGTTTATGGAGGGGAGGAAATTTGAGAAAAACAGGGAGAACTTTGCATAATGTTTCTATTCAATTCTAATTGTTTATTTGTTTACAAGCAAACAGTTTTTAAGTTTCCTGGGCTGTATTAATGAAAACCCAGTCCAGGTTTATTGAGATCATCCTTGTATTTTTCCATAATCCTAAGGACTTCTTTTTGTTAGACTCTCAAATGAAACTATATTTTGTAATGTTTACCATTAGCATTTCATTTTAATAAGGTGTTGCATGATTATGTGCTTATATATATTAATAATCTCTCCATATTTGCTACCCACTCAATAAAGAAGGGTCATTTAGATTGTGGCGTAAATGAAGTGGGCAGGTTTCGATGGTGATTGGTATTTGAGGATAAAAAAATGTGGAGTGTTGTCCAAACATAGGTTTTAACTTGAGATAGTGATGGATGGTGACAAAAGGGTAGATTTCTTTTAAAGTTTGAAAATTTGGGCAAAGACTTTGAATGTGTAGGTTAAAATAGTAAATGATGAGAGGCCCCTCAAATGACATTGCAGATAAATAGTGGGTGAAGTTGGGCAGATTTCTTTAATGGAAAAATATATGTTGGATTTGTCGAGTCCCCTATTTTTGATAATGAAATGTGGGGTCAAAAATAATTTAAAAGAAGCAATGAATGACATTATATTATAGTAGTCCTAAATAAAGGACAAAAACAGGTGAAATGGGTTCGCCACGTCTTAAAATCATCTTGGATGCCACATGGCACGAATTTCTCCTAGTGTAGTTGGTTTCTATTTTTTCTTTCTTAAATTAATTATGATCTTATTTTATTATAACATACTACGTTTTATCTTGTCTGATATGAATTTGCAAGATAATATTTTGGAAGGATTTTTATCTTGTTCGGTTCAAGTTTGTAGAAATAAGTTAGAGCATAACTTTGTTCATTCTGAAACTACTACTATATTTTTGAGTTATAAACTTCTAAAGCCGTAACATTCGGAATTTCTTATTTTTATGCAATTCTCTAATAAACTTAAATAACTTATGTTCATTCAAAAGGGATAATTTAAGAGTCCTCCAATTTGACTTCGTAATATAATTTTCTCCTTTAATTTATGATATTAAGTCTATTTTTTATTGTTAATTTTTAAAAATTGATGAGCCTAATCTATTAATTCTTAATTAAACCAAATGGTATGCACGTCAGGTTGTCGATTAATATTGAGTTTTCTCTCGGTGAGGGCTAACCTCAACAAAATGGTATCCTTAAAAAATTAGTTAAAAACTATCTATAAATTAAGTGAATTTATAGTAAAACGTTTTCTTAGTGATTTTTATAGAAAAATTTAAAAGTCGATAACTATTTGATGAATTAACTTTGACACGTGAAATGCTAGTGGAACAGAAATTCAACGTGCTATTTGTTTGAGTAGTATATTTTCAGTAACATAATCAAAATAAATAAGGTAATAGGTGCACCAACTTTCAAAAAAATATATAAAAGAATTTATCAAAATTATAATTAATAATAAATTTAAATTCATAATTTTAATAATACCATAAGTATAATACTATAACTCTGGGAGAAATAATGAATATACAAAATTATTAATACAATGAATGTAGTAATTATTAACATAAAAAATGAATGTAATAATTACTAATATACAAAACTATTACTACATAAATTTAGTAGTAATAGTTTGCTAAATGATTAGAAAAATATTAAGGAAACTTTTCCACGGGTTTAGTTGAGGAAAGAGTTTCCCAATTCTAATAAGTTTGGGTAAAATACGTATGCCTTATAAGTGTTATGTAACCCTAATTAGTCTCATACTAGATTTTACCTCCGACTAATTTTTGTTAGGGTGAGAACAAGGATCAATCATGGTTAAAATTATTATTCGCATGGATTTAGAACGAACGTTTCTGAATCAATTTTTCAATCAAGATAATATTAAAACAATAGACAAACTTAGAATAAATTTGAGTTTATTCCCCTGCATAATGAGGTACTATATAAACACAAATAAACAGAGATGCATCCAGTTAATTAGTAGCGGAGCCAAAAAATTCACGAGAAATGTCCAGAATTTCAATTTCAATGTTCCTTATGTTTTTGTCATAGCGCCATGAAATTCCTATTAATGCAGCATAGGTTTCACTGAAGTCTATAAATAAAGAGTAAATATCTCACAAGGTCACTGAACTACGAAGAATTGTATAACAAAGTCAACTTTAATTTATTTCAATAAAATCACTTGAATTAAAGTTTTTCTTTTATAAAATCACCCCTTCAAAGTTATCATAAAAAAATATGACATAACATTTTTTTTTATATAAGTTAGACATGAATTCTACTAATAAAATAAAATTTAAAGCTTACAGGAGATGAAACACAATAACTACGTAGATGTAATATATTGTATTGAACTATATATTTTGTAAAAATCCCATAAAGAAATGAATGATTAATTACAAGGAAAAAGACATGGAGTTTACAGACTTATTTTGACTAGAGATGATCGATAACATGAATTATCTCGGATATTAAATAGTGTAATTCAGTGTGCCACCAAACGTATTTTTCTGAGTTCAACTCTAAAAAAACAATAATATATTTTCGTGGCCAATTTCAATTTAATTTGGAGATTCATTTTCACGGCTGAACTAATTAAGGAGGAAATTATGTTTTCAGCAACAACACATAAAGAAAATTTAAGGACATAATGTCATGAATATATGACACCAAAAACATTTAAAAGTTTCATATGTATCTAGCTATTAGGCATATTCCATTACAAAATGTCAAAATCATATAAAAATGACATCACAATATTCACATAAAAAAAATCTGTAGAATACGCAAGAAAAATAATAGTAACTCTCTAGGAAAATAATAGATTGAATATATATAGTGACATAAGTGCTCTAGCAACTCTATGACTTGGCTTCTGCCGGAACCCGCAGAAAACGCCATGGTCCTGTTCCTGTCCCCATCCTGTAATCAATTATCGAGTCAATTGAGTTCGTTTGTATCTTATTATAATTTTATTTTAAGATGTTAGAGATGAGAAATTACCTCCATAAACCGGCAAATGTACGCAGGACCATGAATATGGTTAAAGCAATCCATATTCCAGTGTAACCATTGGATTTGTAAAGGAAAAACTCAGAGGTTATGGTTAATGCACCAACTAAAACCTACATAAGAATCACTTTACATTAATTAAAGCGGTAATTAAATTCAAAAGGTAAATTAGTTGTCTAAACTAACTAACTAACCATCGAATATGCAGAGTATGCAAAATCATTTGCTCCAAAGTTGACACCATCTAACACAAATGCCACTGAATTGATTGGTTGTGTACCAGCAACAAACTGATCGATTGAAAAATAAGTTAATAATACTGAAAGAAAATTAAAAGAATCGGAAAAAATGTTTATTGAATTGTACCGGGATGGCAATGATTATAAGACGGATAACATTCTTGTCCTTTGAAAAGACTCCTGATCCGAAATATAACCCAATTGCAACGAACATAGCTAGTCCGAATCCCAACACTAATCCCATCTGCATAATGAAAAACTTTATCCTCTTTAGGCGCGTTGTATAAAATTAGTAGCCTAAAGCCAAATTCTATTGTAGTGCAACTTGTTATATAGTAGTACCTGTAGGACTCGAACTCCTGCAGCCTTTGCCTTTTGGAAGTCATTCTCAGCAAATGAAGTAGCAAGTATTGCCTGGAAAAGATGAAATCGCAGTAATCAGAAAGCAAGTTTCATTTCTAAATGTGTAGTTGGTGTGTTTTTTTACCTGTCCTGCTACAGCTAATCCATCAGCAAGCAGAGATGATGTTAGCCAGATTTGTAAGCAAACTTGAAATGCAGCCATCTGCGTTGTGCCTAATCGTGCAGCCAACGATGCAGCCAATGTCACACAAAATGTAACAGCTATCACCCTTGCTAGTAACCAAAATCCTACAGCAATCAACGTACTTATGAATCGTTGTTGATTTGGTACCAGTAATGATAGTCGTTTCAGTATCTTAAGTATGCATGTATGTATATTATAATTATATGCCCTTTTTCGCCTTCTATCATTTACTTACCATTCTTGAGAAATTTGCTGAACTGCAGATCTTTCGCGCTAGGAGGTAATAGATCAACTTCTGTCATCAATTTAAATAGGAGAATAATCGATATCAAGTACCTAAAGAAAACATAACAGAGTGATATTAGAAATTGTGTGACTATATAACTTGAAATTAGTTTTGATTCAGAAAAAGGACTTACTGAGAAAGAACATGAGCAATGGCAGCACCACTAACACCCCAACGGAAAACAAAAATAAATATTGGGTCCAAAATTATGTTTGTCAAATCTCCAGCAACTGATACAATTGAAGAAAATTAACGATAAGAGTTGGATCAATTATCTTAATTGTACTTTAAGTAGCAGAGTAAATACTAGTTACCAGTTGCGAATAACGGAGTTCTAGTATCCTTGAAACCGCGAAAAACGCCTTGCATAGCCAAAGAAAGAAGGACTGCAGGGGCACCAATTGCCCTCAAGGTCAAATACTTCTTTGCTGGAGAAAGCATAGGAGAATCCTGTATGATTTCGTTAAATAAAACCATGTTACTCTTTCTGATGAGATGATCACATAATTTAACACGTAAAGTCACATTTAATATGTACTAATGATGTTGTACTTACAGATTTCACACCCATTAAGCTTAAAATTGGTTTCGCGAGAAATATGAGGAAAATCGTCTGGAGAATGCCAAGAATGCATCCCATGAGAATTGCAGTTGAAGCTGATGGAATATGTCGCTTCACACGTTTGAGTTTTCCTTTACTTTTATTATCTAAGGACACACATTTAGATTCTGTAAACGTAACATTATTTTGTTTATTTATCATGAAAAATTGAATGTCAGTCTATAAAAGTTAAACTCGTAAGATATATATAACCTGGTGCTAATGCGATCTCTTTGGTTTCCTTCTTGGCATTGTCAGTATCATCAGTTAGTACTAGCTGTACTTTTGTATCATTCTTCTCCTCCTTACCCTTCTCTAAATCAGCTATTGCTTCTTTTTCACTAATTCTTCTAACAGTCTCTTCTTCAGCAACAAATGAAGTTGTTATGTTTACTAAAGGGAAAATTGTGACTTTAGAGGCTTGATTGAATATGGCAATTGAAACTCCTACTGCTGCAATTTCATTTGCCCCTGCAGTCATGAAGAGCCAACGTTTGAGAATTTTTTTTTGTAAGGGCAAAATAGTCAAGTAATTATGAAATTCGCTAAACAAATGAGAATATTAGCTAGCGTTTGATCATAGATTTCCAAATTTTTTTGGCAAATATTATTTAGGTGAGAATTTCACCATTGTGTTTGGCCATAATATTTGGGAAATATATTTCACTTTTTTAATAAATATGATTTATAACCATAAGTTTTAAAAACTATCAAAATTAACCATATGTTTGTATTACATAGCAAAATTCATGACTTCCGCAACAAGCAATTGGATCTCCGTTGCATCAAATAACAAGTAGTGTCCATGACATTGGATCAATGTGGTAGTTCAGAGTGAGTGCAACAAGCATCATTACATACATCGTGAAGTAGATGAAACACATGATTTTATTACCCTAAGTTGATTATTTGTCATTTTCATCAACAACCATATCATCACTTTCATATTTCATCACTGCTTTGGTTTTCACATAAAAAAAATATGTAATACAACACAAACAATTACTATAGAGGGTGTCTTTTGTAAAAGATATAAGTTTGGTGTAGAATTTGAATTTTTAAAAGTTTTCAAATAATGAGATTTGGCCCAAATACTAGTTTTTTCTAGTATTTGGGAATTTTGGCTATTTGCCAAATAATAACAAAGTTATATGGATAAACACTATTTACCAAATTTCCCTCCAAATTTTACTTGAAAAATCTATGGCCTAACAAACAAAAAAAAGTAACTGTCCTGTCCTTACTGATAACTAGTTTTGAGACACGTGCCTTGCACGAGATTATTAAATCATGTACTATATTATTTTTAAAAAATAATGTCAACATCATTAAAACAAAACTTGAAGCAAACAATTATAAATTGAATAATAAAATATAAGTTCCTATTTATAGTGGATGTGAACTTTGTTATGATTACTATTGAAATTGTCAAATCAAAATCCGAAAACACCTATAACTATTTATAATATTAAGCTAGATATATATAAGGTAATGTGACACTTCTCTATATGGCCTCCAATTAGATTTATCTTTTTTTTTTTGACCTATTTCTCATTTTAAAATTAATTGTGATATATAAAAATAAAGATGTCACTCTTAATATCTCTTAGTTGCACCTCTTAAATATAGTTTCTCCTCCCTCTCCTTTGGTGCATTACTTAGTTATTATTGTATTGTTGGAGTTTCTGCATTTATTATAATATAAATAGAAAAATATTGATATATAATATAGAAGATATACTACATTGGATGTTTTTAGTTGGAGTATTATATTAATTTAACATTTAAGTTATAGAGTGTTAAAATTCCACTGAACTTTGAGATTCTCAAAATCTGTAAATCACACTTGAGTTTTTTTTAGAAGAGAAGAATAGAAAACTAAAAAAACTCGTAGTTTAGAAATGTGAGGAAACCCCTCCATTTATAATTAACAAAGGGTAGTATGAACATGTGCTTATTGTGTTTAATCATAAAAGTCACGACCTTTTAGAAAAGTCACAATTTTTCAAAAAGGTCACATTTCACTTTAGGAAAGTCGTAACCATTCAATGCGAAAGAGTGTGTGCTTTTAAAATAAAATATTATAAATAAATATAATATAATATAAAATATAGAAGATATACTAAATTAGGTGTTTTAAGAAGAAGAACAATAGAAAACTTAAAAAACTTGTAGTTTAAAAGTGCGAGGAGACCCCTCTTTTTATAGCCAACAAAGGCTAGTACGAAAAAATGTTTATCAGAAAAGTCACAATTCTTTAGAAAAGTCATAACCCTTTGAAAATGTCATAACTCATTGGAAAAGTCATAACTCTTTGGAAAAGTAAAAGTGACAGCCCTTCGGAAAAAAATTGGGTGTTTTAAGTTGAGGGTATTATAGTAATTTAACATTTAAGTTAGAGAATTCATGCTTTTAAGGTACACCCTCCGTCAACTTTTATTTGTAATGTTGCGCTTTTTTCAAAGTCAATTTTATTAATTTTCAAAGTTAAATTAGGTTACATTAATTCGATATTTTTAACAAAAAATTAGATATTCAAAAACTATACAAAAAGTATGATAAATTGTAATTTTTTTGCATATCAACATGAAAAAATACATTGTAAAATGTTAGGCAAAGTTTTTATAATTTGACTCTAAAAAAGAAAATTATGACAACTAAAATGCACGAAGATAGCAGTATAGATAAATATATGAAAATTGTATCCGTCCTATTTTCATGACTAAATTATCACGTCTTTTGTCAAGTAAAGCTTTTGAATACAAAAGTCCCTTGTTCACATTTAGGTGAATTTTGATTAAGAAACCGTTAAGTACAATTGAATCTTATTTGATTGACTATCTGAACTTTACCCCCTACCTAAATGACCGATGAATGCTGTATCAATGAGAGAAGCAATAGGATCAGCAGCTAATGCAAGAGCTGCAGGGAACGCGATACGTAGGATTTCCATTCCAAGATCATCGAATTTGAAGACATTCCTGAACACAATAAGAAAAACAAATTACATAAGTGATTAAACCGAGCAAAATTGACAACAATATAAATTTGAAAAAATGTACCTAATGTCTTCAAAGAAAACAAAGATTGGTATGTTCCATCTTCTTTTAGTGCAAGCTACATTTCCAACCTCAGCCATGAGTCCTTGATTTTGATAACTTATCGCGCAAAATGTTTTTTTAGTAGTGTTTTAAAACAAAAATTAAAAACTACCTCTCTCAAAATAAAAGAGCATTCATGCAAATAAAGCTTAAAGAACTTGTGTTAATTTATATTGTATCTATGTTACTATTGTTTTATGTAATTCTCCAATAAACTTAAACAACTTGTATTAATTTATGTTGTATCTATTTTAATATTGTTTTATGTAATTCTCTAATAAACTTAAACAACTTGTGCTTATTAATTTAAAAGGGGATCATCTAAGAGTCTTCCAATTTGATTTCGTAATATAAGTTTCTCCTATAATTTAAGATATTCAGTTTATTTTTTATAGTGAATTCTTAATTCTTAAAAAATGATAAGCTTCACATGTTAAATTTTAATTAAACTAAATGGTATGCACGTAAGGTTGTCCATTAATATTGACTACAGTTTTCTCTCGATAAGGCTAACCTCAACATAAGTAACAAATTTTTGTTAGTGTTTTTTATAGAAAAATTAATTTATTATTGATCAGAATTTGTTTATCATCTTTGTTTAGTCCTGTGCGTACACTGATAGTCGGCCTCACTATCTGATAACCTACCTAGGTTTACATATTTAACAATCTAACCGTCTCAGTTTTAATAAAAATAAATGAGACCTAGCTTAATGTTGACCATATATATCAGATATGATTCTAAAAGATTCAGGATAATAGTCTACTTTAACTATGCAGAATATATCACACCATTGATATGTGCAAGATATTATGATATTGTGCTAGAACATGTTTGTATTTATGTATCTTTATATATAAATCGTGGATAGTTTATAAAGTATAGAAATACAAAATATTTTTCAACTCTTTTTGATTCTATTTGTACACCCCTGAGATTCTTATTCTCATTCCTCTACTGGGTGGGTATATTTATGCCCTTTTTGAATCCGTCTCCGATTACACACAAATATGATTAACAATTTGTTATGCTTATATATTATAATCCTGGAGTGGAATGAGCCTACCTAAGTTTCAAATTACAATGATATAATATGTATGTGACATATCTGCAGAATTATCAAACACAATAATTCACTTATTTACCAAATTTTTCAAAATTGTTCTGCCACAGCTAAAGCTTGTTAATCACAAATAGTGACTGCTTAATTATCTAAATCCTTAGCCTGTAATTTTTTTTTCAAACACCTGTAGTTTTAGTCTAGTATTACAAAGAATTTCACCCTAAACTGAAATTATTCAACATTATTATATAATCTTCATATCTATATCTACTTTCATCAATACTTATAGTTTGGGAGAAAAAGAGAGAAGAGAACCTTGTTTCTCAATAAATATATACATAGTCGAATTACGACGTATATCGATTGCGCACCCAAGTGAACATACAATAAAGTATTTTTATATTCTCATAATCCCATCGATTACCCAGTAGATACATGACTCTAGCTCAATGCCTTAATCAACCGCTATGAAACTTTAAGTTGTCTAATTTATGCAGAAAGAGAGATCGAAACTAGGTGTACAAGTATGTCATTAGACAACTCAAGCTTAAAGTGCCCTGAGTTTTGTCACAAGATTAGACATCTCCATAAGGTACTCCCTTATGTTTTCATTACCATCCTGCACAATTTAGCCAATTTAAAGTTTCATATAATACTCAAAAGGAGAAATGAATTTATAGCTCAATGTGTGCAAGAGGTGGATAGACTCAAACAAGAGAGGATTGAAAGTGCTCATTTGACATCTACCTCTGGAACTAAAGCCGTTTCATATAAGCAGAAAAGGAGCAACACTAAAAAAAAAACACTTAAATTGGAGGGGTTTAATAGTAATCATCAAGTCGTTTCAATAGATTAATCAACTGAGTTGTGAGTTCTCTTTTTCTCATTTTCATGATATTAACTAGCTTGGAGTTAGTTGACTGATTGATGGACATACAAACTACATAAGCTATCTTTGTTTCCACATTGCAGGTGAGTCACATTTGAAGAATTTTATGCTTGTGGGTGATGGCATGGATGCTACTATTATTACTGGCAACTTGAATGTTGTGGATGGTGCAACAACTTTCAACTGTTTGTAAAAAATCTTCTATCTCACTATCATTTATGCACTCTTTAAATGTCATTGGGATTTTTTGCCGAAGCTATTAGCCCAAAATTACATATTCAACTAGAACATATTAGTGGTAACAATATTGGAAAAATTGATCGATGAACTTGTTTACTTTGGTTGCCCAATTTTATTTTTAATGCAGCTGCTGTTGGGGATGGATTCATAGCTCAAGATCTACAATTTCAAAACACAGCAGGGCCACAAAGCACCAAGCAGTGGCCCTTCGTGTTGGAGAAGATCAGTCCGTTATTAACGGTTGCAAAATAGATGCATTCCAGGACACTCTCTACACCCACACACTCCATCAATTCTACAGAGATTGTTACATCACTGGCACTGTCGATGTCATTATCAGTGTATGTAAGTTAGATCCGCATGTTAATTATCTCATATTTTTTTTGTGTTACTTGAATTTCGAAAAGTTATGTCTTTGGATTATTCACCAATTTGAAATTACAGGGCTGGTAGATTAACAGATGGACCATACACATCATATGATTTGAACTCACTGTTAGAAGCTACAGTTGGCGAACAGCGTGCAGTTTTGATAGGTCAAGGTATCTAATCTTTTAGTTTTCATGTAAGTAACATGTAATGAGCTGAGGGAATTATCCTACTTCAGATTTTTGTGGTGACATATAGCCTACCATATTCCTATTGAAAAGGATTAAGAAAATGAACATAACATAAACGAAGCTTCTTTTAGGAAACACATGGTCTATGAAAAGTTGATACTGCAAGGACAAAAAGAAACAAAGAGGAAAAGAAGTGAAAAATACAGGAACTGGATTTTCACATCATTACTTAACAAACTACTCTTCTTGACAGATTAAACAAGGAGATCAGGTAACACTATTGGATCCCATTTGCAAATTTGTTGATTTTGAATGGGAAGGAAAGGTAAACTCGTTATATATCTTTGGTATTTCAGATGCAATGCTATTCAAAATATGTCATTTTGCTTTCTATATCACTTTTTTTTTTTCCTGTAAGCACCACATATTAGATGTGTTCTATTAGTTTGTATCCCTTTATTTTGTGTATCGAATTCAGAATTCATTTTCTTTTTTAGGATGTGCTCTTTAGTCCGCCTTTCACTTTTAGAATGTTATGCTCACGTTAACTACCTTTGCCTTCCACTTTTAGAATGTTACTGCTCAAGTTAATTACCTTTATTCAAAAGTTAAAATATTACATTGAAAAACACCAAGTTTGTTATGCTTAAGTTCTGTATATGACTCAATCTTCATCCTCAGACATCTATCAAGTTTGTTCAGCTACCTACATAACAAATATTCCCTGTTAAGCTTTTGAAACCATGTTGGCAACTCTAAGAATATGGTTTCAGTAGTTTGATTGTGAATATATCTAAATATAGTAGCAATTGATACTATTAAGTTGAATGGAATGGAGTTACACGTTTTTGGTTAATTCCTTGAGTGTCATCTTACTCTATCTCAATCGATCCGTTGTTTTCTCTCTCAGGTTTTTGACTTATCTTTCAGCTATATGTGAGGATGAACTGCCGACAAAGGAACATTGGAGCCTAAGAATTTGTCAGAGCCTACACCCTGGGTGGAACTGACACTCGAGAACCATTACTGGCCCCAAGCGAACCCTTGGCTTGACTTACTTACTCAGCGGAAGACTTAACTCAATCATAACTGCACTTTAAAAGTAAACTGAAAGCTAAAAGATAACTGAGAATGTATTAAAATAACATTCACCGGCCAAAGTGGCAACTGATCAAGTCTCAACATAATAGAATGAAAATGAAAAGACTAAATAACTAACATCTGGTTGTCTATGAGGCCTCTAAAAATTGAGATGGACGTCGGGACAAAACCCACGATATCCTAATGAACTAAACATACTGAAAGCAATAAAAGGGATCCTCCGAAAAGTAAGGAGGCTCACCACAAGATCTGAATGCTCAATTGGATCAACGAAGCGCTGGATGATGATCCTGATTACCTGTATCTATACCATAAGAAGATGTAGGACAAATGACATCAATACATTGAATGTACGAGCATGCGATGAGAATGCTAAAATAAGACATAAGCTTGAAAGGAACTGAAGAACAAACCTGGTCTCAACTGAACTGAACTGAACTAATTTCAATATAAAGCAATACAAACAAGTGCAACATAAAGAAAAGCTTTTAAAAACATGGATAACAACTCTAAGTATTTAGAAATACAATATTAACTCTGGATATATACAAAGATACAATATAAACTCTGGAATGTATATAAAAATACAAAATAGTAAAGTTGTGGAAGTTTCTCTAACCGACAACCATCACTTAAGAGCCATTGTGATGCTACAACGTTTTGCCTCACGCTGCCAGGGTCGTCCTATACTTTGCCGAGGGTATAGAACCTGACTTCTAAGTGGATCCACTAGTCTATGCTAAAAAGCACTAAGGAATCATCTAAAAAGTATGACCCTTTTCTACTCATAATGGCTACATGGTTTATGGGGCTGAGAGTTGTTTGAACTGTCACGCCCTGAGCCTACACCCTGGACGTGACGACACTCGAGAACCATTGCTGGCCCCAAGCGAACCCTTGGCCTGACTTAGTTACTCTGCAGAAGACTTAGACATAAGAAAGAGAATCCAAATACTAGATAATTCAACATGTCTCAAACTGAACAAATAATATTTTAAAAATAAACATTTAACTTAGCAAAAATAGCAACTCAAATATGAACATAAGCCAATAACAAAATGATGACGAATGAACTAACATCTGATTGATTATCTATGAAGCCTTTAAAACAATTGAGATGGATGTCAAGACAGGCCCACGACATCCTAATGAACTAAAATGATAAAGTAATGAAAAAGAGGGATC